CCAATCTATTTTGAGCAAAAGAAGAAAACAATTCTTGTTGCTCAAACAACATTGCCTTACAAAAGCATTTAGCGGCTGTCTCCCATTACTTTGTTCTTACATAGAATTTTTTAGGCTCTCTTCCAGAGTTACAAAATTAGACTCTCCTAAAAAAGTAAAATTATAATGAATTTAAAGCTTTGCAAACATTTTTAACTAAATATTTTAGTTGAAGAGTTGGATATACTGTTACCTGCCGCTGCTTCTTCCTTGTTCCTTCTGTTCTGTGCCTATGCTAGTGTTAGTGCTTGGAGATCACATCAGCAAATATTGTACCAAGTTAATTCTCTAAGTGAAGGACAAATCCAATGACCTAAAATTACTTTTTTTTTGTGGCACTGGGGTTTGATCTCAGGGCTTCACACTTGCCTCGCAGGCTCTCTTACTATTTGACACCAGCACTTTTTTGTATTGGGTATATTTGAGACAGGGTTTCTGCAAACTATTTGCCTGGGGCTGGCTTCTAACTGATCTCTGCCTCCTGAGTGCCTAGGATTACAGGCGTGAGCCACCGGTGTCTGGCCTAAAATTACTCTCGTGTGATATTTTTGTGAAGGATGGTGTTTTCTCTAGAGTATGGGGTGGGGCTGTCATTTGAGAAGGCTTTCATATATCCATATCACTGATGCCCTAGTATTTTGTGAGCATTTCCTGTGTCCCATTGTGACAGCCAAAGGTTGTTGTCTCTGGCCTCCTCCGATGATCTCTGACTTTTTCATTTGCTTCAGTGACTCTGAACTGCTCTGAACTTGCTGTTTTCCCTTTTCTACATAGAGGGCCTTTCTTTGACTGAACTCTCACCCTTTGCCTGGAGAACTTCTTACCCCTGTTCCAGGCTCAGCTCTGCGAGACCTCCATGAGGACGTCTTCTCTTCCCCAGGGGTTTCTTCCCATGTGCCCTGTAGCTCTGCAGTATACCAGCACTTCATACCACATCATGAGGTGCTGATGTGGTCAGTGTCTCTTGGAAATGCTCTCACTGTGATGACCCTCCCCACCCACCTTCTTCCTTCATTGCGGGAGAAAATCCCACAACAAGGTAACAGAAAGTCCTGGTCATCTCTCTTACATGGCCTTTGGCCCATGCATGAATGTTTCTGTGTCTGTAGGCAGCAGTCTACCTTGTTTGTAGTAACTCTTTCATTCACTCTCCTCTCTCTCCCAATTTTTACTCATGTCCAAACTCTATAACTTCCTGTTACAAATAACCGTCTGTAGCAATTCCCTCAGCTTTTCTTCTCGAAGTCCTCAGACTCAGTGATACTGGCACCTGTTAGAAGGAAAGAAGCACTCTGTACTCCTATGACAGACAGGTCAACTCCCCGTGTGTGCTGAGCACCCCTCCCCGCCCACATCGTGGTGTTTGAACTGTCTTTTGTGGACTCTTCTCCTGGGCATTTACACACTTATCTCTTAAATTCTGATTTGGTTAAGAAGGTGAATGTGGTTGATGTACTTTCTATATAAGAATGAATATGGAATTTTTAAACCTGTTGAAATCATCGTGAGAAGGGGACTGAGGTAGAAAGGAGAAAAATAGAAGGGATGAACTAATTTGGGTTATAATACATATATACGTGGAAATGTCACAATGAAACACCCGAGATAGCTATCTTAAACAAATAAAAATGTCAATTTTTTTGTTTCAAAAACAGAACAGGAAGGTAAAACAGTTTCTATCTGGAGGTTGGTACCAGTGGGAGGGGGGAGGATTTAAGGAACGGGTGTAGGAGGGTGAGTATGGGAGAGATATACATATGTATGTTAATGGAAAAATGAGACATGTTGAAACTGTTCTAGGAATGGAGGGAAGGGAAATAAGGGAGAATGATGGAGGGGGTGAATTCAACTATGATATATTGTAAGAACTGTTGTAAATGTCACAATGTATCCCCAGTACAATAATATGATAGTAAATATTAAAAAGTAAACAGGAAACAGGCCTTCTCTCTACCTCATGTCCCCTTCCAACAGTCATCTGTACTGTTCTGTCACTCTTCTGAAAAAAGACTGTTCCTTCAAATGGTCTCAACTTTCAGTTTTAGATCACCTCCCATGTGGCCCTTTTCCCTGCCTTTCCATGGATATTTCTAAGATCTCATTCCTTCTCTGACTTTTCTGCTGCTCACACAGCTCAGCTTCTTTCTTCATCCATCCAACATGCTGGTAGCATATTTTAGCGTCTTATTTTCACTCATGATTTCAGATGTTTCAGTCCCTGATCAGCTGGCTCCATTGCTTTTGGGCCTGTGGAGAGGCAGAACATTGTGGCAGAGAAGGTTTCGTGGAGCATCTCATGGTGACCAGAAAGCTGAAAAAGAAGGGCCTGGGGTTTCCATATCCCCTTCAGGGGCATACCCCTAGTGACCTAACTTTGTTTCACTAGATCCCACCTTTCAAAGTTTCCACCCCTTCCTGGGAGCACTACAGGCTGGTGACTAAGCCTTTAGTATAAGGATCTTTGTGGGACATTTAAAATCTAAACCAAAACGATATTCTTAATGTCGTCAGTTGCTCATACTAAAGTCTGGATATGATTCTGGAAATTTCTGCCTTTTCCACGTCCAGTCCATTACCCATTGCCTGGATTGCACTTGAAAGCATCTCTCAAATCTATCTTCTTCTCTTTGCTTTTGTTACTACCTTCCTCTGAGTCACGGTCATTCTCTTGCCTGTACCATTTCAGAAGTTCCTAATAAGAGTTTCTTTTTCCAATTTTCAGTTCCTTTAATCTTTTCTTTTTCTCTCAGAAAAACTAGAGTAATCTTTAAAACATCTAAAAATTACATCAGTCAGTTCCTCTCTTGGAAACCCTTCACTGGCTGTTCATGGAATCCAACATAAAATGTTTCCCGTCCCTGGGGCCCACATGCTCTGAACTTTTGTATTCTGGTCCAATACTATCACTCATCTCTGTTCTTCATTGTGCCTTATGCTCCAGCCATATTTCTATCTGACATTTGCTATAATATATATGTAAATCCCTTCCATGAATCCTTTGCCTCTGCTGGTTTCAGGCTGGAAACAGTTTTCCTTATTCTTTGCATCATTACTTCATCCTTTTTTTTTTTTTTGCATTCATCTTTTAGCTCTTGGCTTAAATGTTTCTACTCCAGTGATGCTCATTATAAGCCTATTTTTCCTTTACCTTCTCTAAGGAAGCCTTGCCATATCCCTGCTTTTCCTCATTGATTAAATCTTGAGGGGAAGTACCCATTTGGTACTACTTGGGTTCAGATCTTGGTGGTTTTGGATTCCTGACCCTGTTTTCTGTGACCTTGAGCCATTCTGGACTCTGTTAGACCAGGTTGCAGTGCTAAGCTGACTTCTTTTCTGAGCATACCAGTTTCCATGGAAGATGTCTTATGTGTAGGTTTATTCAGGAACAGTAGTAGGCTAGTTCTGGATACAGAAGCTTTGAAGATGACACAGGTGCTCATATAGGTGTGTCGTAAGTTAATTCATTGGATGTGTATAAATTGACTCACCTTGACAACGTGTGGCAGAATGTCTTGTGTCTACGTTTTCAGATGGAACATTCCCATCTGTGTTACTGGGAAGGTCAAGATCCTGATCTGTACTATTTTGTCCCTGCTTTATTCTTTAGTATGTGGCACTGTGGTTTGCCATTGTTGTAGGTCACGTGGTCTTACATACAGAGAGGATAAAAAATATTTTTAAGGTAATCCCTTTCCCCTATTTATTGCTTGCTCTTACTTCTTTCACTTAGATCTCTATTGCCCCAGCTCTTTCATACCTAAGTAACAAATTTTCCAAGTGGAAATGTGTGGAACCCAGGAATGGGCTTGGGGTAGAAAGTTTAAACTCTGGACATCTTGCTTGCGAGCATAGGCACTTATTTTGAGTGTTCCTTGTCTCACTGGGCTAGAACTAGGCTGGTCTCTTTGGGAAAAATCCTTACTACTGCAAAGGAGCCTTTGGTTAAATTAAGAATTCTTTTCTAAGGACCAGGGGTGTAGCTTACTACTGGTAGAGGGCTTGCTTAGCATGGGAGGGGTAGGGCTGGATTTAACTCCTAGAATATTTCTGTATAAATCACTTATTTCATTTTTTCTTCAATGTTAAGCTTGGATTTTTTTGAGAGAGGGGGATCTTTGGTAAAGAAAATGGATGGAACATTCTTGCACAGTGTTTTGAGGCCCTCTACCCCCATTCTGGATATTTTTGGTCTCTTGGAAATGGAGTCTGAGAAAGTCACTAAGCAGTCACATACTGCTATTAAGCATGCTCTCCTCAGGTGAATATTCTGTTTACATTTGCAGCATTTTGTGACTTAGAACAAAATCCCCAAGTTGGCCAGTGTAGGAAATGAGCGTGACTGTGGTTGGAATTTGCGTTAGGCCCTGTCATGTTGACCTTCCCTGGTGTGGTGATCTTCTAAGTACCCACTGACTTTTTGTTGAGCCTCCAGGGTACTTTGCTCATATATCTTAAGTCCTTAGAAGGAATTTTCAATAATGAAAATTTCAGTAATGAAGGGTGGACTCCTTATGTTTAAAAAGTTAGCCACAATCCTAGCTCTTTCCTTAATGTAGTCTGATTACCAAAAAAGGAATGTAATTGAATTTTAAATTTCTGAGGAGGAGGAAGAAAAATATCTCTAACAGAACAGTTCTGTTAATGGAAGTGATAGACCCCTTTGTTGTTTGAAGACAGCCCTCTTTGCCATTGCATACAAGTGCTTAGGGCTCTGTTGCATGTTGCCCTGGCCAGCTGTCTGCCCTACCTCCTTTCCCCCAAAAATATTGATGAAGTTCTGACACTTTGATAAGTTGTGAAATGCTTTAATTGCCGCATTGGCAGAGCGAGATAAAGCAGTTAATATGTTGTTCATTTTATTTCTGGGTGGGGTGGAAGAGGGAAGAGGGAAAGGAAATACTAATGTTTTCCTTTTTGGAAAGCTAATGTTATACTCTTTTGTTATCACTCTTGTTCTCTAGGCATTAAGTGTAACCGAAACCCTGATTAAACCCTTGGAAAAATTCAGGAAAGAGCAACTTGGAGCTGTCAAGGTTTGTGTTTGATTTGAGTACACTCATGATGGAAAATGTGGATGCCTTGCTGTATCAGCGTAAACTTTGTTCACTTTTGGCAGCATCCGTGGAGTAAACCATCTGTTGTTTTATGTTTTCAATGTGCTTTTTCCCCTGTGGGGAGATGAAATCGAAAACAAAACAAAACACCTGGACAGGGTAGTAAAACCTCTAGTAAGCTTCTTTCACGACACTTTCCATACAGAGTTTAAAAAATAACTTGAGCCAAACAACACATTTACCCTGAATGGAAGGATCTTTTTGCTGTAGGGAGCATGGTTATTTCTGTGTGCATCTCCGTTTTATGGAGGAGGTGGCATTATAATAGGGTTTAAGAATAGACACTGTTTCATGTGGTATATGGACTTCATATACCTATATGAAACAGAACTGAAAAACCTCTTGCAATTGCTTTGGGTGGAGTAGGGAGAGGGTTGAGGGGGAGAGACAATAGGGGAAATGTAAATAATGTACGATAAGAAGTCTGATTGGAATTGCCACTTCAAATCCCCTTTATATAATGAATATATCCTAATAAAAATTTATAATAAAAAAGCTAAAATATTAAAAAAAAAAAGAATAGACACTGCTATACCAGGATGTTATTGAAACTAGGAAGACAAGATTAACCAAGTGGGATATTTCCTTCAATTTAACAAAAAAAAAAAGATTGGGCTTCTGTTATGTGCCAATATTGCTATCATACTGGTTATGGTATGGCTTTGTGCAGGGATTCATAGAAGGGTGGCCCACAGTTTCACACTCAGGGATCTGGGATTTATCCAGGATTTCCGGAAATAATACAGTACTTTGCCACAGGATATATTTAGCAACTTCTAGTTTGTGATCTGGGCTTTGAAATGATCCCAGAGAAATCACTTCCACCCATCTTTTCCTGAGGTTTTTGTATGTACATGAGGGAAGAAAAGTAACATTTGTGTGCTGACCATTTTTGACTTGGCCCAAAGAGAGAAGAACATCAGTTTAGAGAATAAAATTTTTATATTTTCTGATCATTTTTTCCACATGGCTAGGGATTTGAGGTTTTTGGCTTTTTTTCCCTTTTATCTTCCTAACAGAAACTATTAAAATCTCTTGGTACAAATAAACATTGTGTTTTCAATAGTTGTAACTGCACAGATGGGCACACAGTGTTCCAACTTTTTAGCTGCTATTTACAGAACCTTTCTCTGGTGAATGATTTGTTGAAGTGTTTGGCATGTCTGCTTGGAGGTATATTTTACAGGTTTAGCGATGGACTGTGAATTGAGGTTCAGACCATGTGGCTGTGGGTGTCAGCGTGGGTACCCCGGCCTCCATCCCTTGACAATTGGCTAAGCTGCAGGAGTCAGATCAGCTCCCTCACTTGGCAGGAGGAGATTGGGGACCACATGTCACTTTTGTGACCTTGGGCAAATAATGGGCTTTATCTGTAAAATGGAGCCCTTGGGATTCTGATGACTCTGTTTTGTAGTTTTATGATTGTTTCTCCTCAAACTATTCTGGAGCACGAACATACTGGTGTTTTTAAAACATTTCATTGGCAGGTACTGTATGTTATACAATGTTCATTTCTTATTTTAATTGGATGATGGTTGGAGAGGGCAAAGATTATATTACAGAATTGAAAAATGAATGTTATTTAATTAGTAAATAGATTTCCTTTTTGATACTTACCCTACTGGGTTTTATGTTTCTGACTTATGTTGGCCTTTGATAGAATCTTCTATTGACTCCTTCTCTTGCCCTCAGCTTGCCCAGCCAAGCAACTTACAAAATAAATTGCCCTTCTAAAAGGAGAAATTATTTCAGTAGTCTCTGCTGTCAGCTGCCTAGCAGCCAGATTCTATCCCGACATCTCAATTCTTTGCATCTTCATTTTGCTTCTGACTTCATGTTTAGGAAGGTTTTATCCTTCCGTGCAGAGTGTGTCATGGCTGTCATTCCTCTTGATGCCTTGGGAAGAGCCAGACTTTGTGGGTCCCAGGGAGAAGCCTTTTATTAACTGGCAGTTTTCTGAACTTCGTAATAAACATTAGGGAAAGATGGTTGTCTGTGTTATCTAGCAATATATAAACATACGTCTTTTCCATTAGATGGTTAAATCTTTAAAAAAAAGACTGCTTTATGTCTTCATTTTCTACCAGTTTTCATCTTGCCCTCAAAAAGAAGATGTCCATTGAATAGCTTATTTGACTGATAATTATAACAACTTGGAAATGGTTGTAGTTTGGGTATTTTATCTTTTACATCTGAGTTTCCTGAACATTCAATCCTATTTTGACTAGCACACATTTTTCGTTCCTCTGGTTAATGTGTTTACATGGAATAATTTAAAAGAATTTTGCTTTCTCAGGTTAAAGAGCTTTTTAAAACAGCATAAAACAGTTTTCATGTGGAGATTTAAAAAAAAAACAAAAAACCCCACAGTCTACTTAAAAATTGGCCACGTAAGAATTTTCAGATATCCATGTCAACATTTTTATCTTCTATCTCTCTTTTTTTTTCTCAGCTGGTGATGTCATAACTGAATCTCTGGATTCCATGTATCTTGCTATTTCTAGTTTCCAGAAGCCCAGCTACTTATTTAACTGTGGTTTGAATGTAATCTAAGCTGCTAGGTGGTTTTTATAAATTGGATTTTTAAAAAATCCCATGGTGTCCTTCTTGACTGCTTTGTTTTTGTTTGGAATGCTCTTCTTGAGTGACTTGTGTTTGTTCCGAGCTCATTTCTCTGTCTTTTCAGGTTTTTACCTCTGTGTGAAAGCCTTTTTGCCACCTCAGGATGTACATTGTGTGCTGTGTCTCCTTGCTATTGGGAGTTTTCTTCATGGCCTCATTCTCTCCCTCTCCCTCCCTAGGCTTTGAACACAGGGGCTTTTGCTTGCTAGGCAGATCTCTATCACTTGTGGTACATCCCCAATCCTTTCTACTTTATTTTTCAGGTATAGTTTTGCATTTTAGACTAGGCAGGACTGGACTGTGATCCTCCTACTTACACCTCCAGCAGAGCTGCGATTACAGGCATGAGCCATCTCACCCAGTGAAGGTCTAGTTCATTTCTTAGCTCTTTGAACTCATTCTCCACCTGAGGAGGTTGGCATTTATTTCCACATCCCACAGTATACTCACAGCCATTGCTCACTGGAGGATGACTTAGCCACAGGAAACTAATGCAGGTGCCAAACAACATAGGGGCCAAGCACATTGAGCAAAATCTCCAAGAAATATGCTAACATGACTTAATAGACCCAGAGGGAGAATTTAAAATTGCTTTTTCAGACATCTGCCCAAACAAATAATACAGATGTGCATTGAGACAGCGTCAGGCTAATTTCAAGTACATGCAGCTAAACTGTAATGACAGGGGTCTGTTCATCTTGGAAAGAGCCAAGTAACTTTCTCCAAAAACAGGGTTGAAAAAAATGCTCATTTCATACATAATGACTGATCACCTCACCCCATTACCAGATTTTCACCCCACATTTCTTCTCATAGTTCTAAGACTATGTCTAATGAATAAACTTTTAATAAAAACTGATTTATCAAGATTCTGTAAATAACTACAAGATATGGATAAAAAAACCAAACCTACCTGAATAATTTCTCACATTATATTGTTTGATAAAGCAGAAATGATTTAATTTATTTTTTTTTATTTTAGTAATAAAACACACCTATCCTATGGCAGAGAGAGGCCCTGGGAGATAACAGTGAATTAAAATGCTGGCTGGCCTTCCAGGAGGCCGCAGCTCTGCGGGAGACTGAGATGAAAAAGAAACAGTAAAGGTGCATTGTGAAAAGTGGCCTAAGAGAGGCCTGTGGGATGCACCTCACTGCCCTGCTTGGGAAAGACAAAGCAATGCTTCCTGTTTTGCATCTTTTTTCAGTGCCTTGAGGAGCTATGATTTGGGATAGGTTACTTTTGGCCTCTAGGCCTCAGTTTCCTGGTCTGTAAAGCAAGGCCAGTGACATCTGCCTTAGAAGGCTGTTGTGAGAATTAAATGAATTTGGTAAATACTTCCTGTCTGGTATGGGGCCTGGCAGTTTTCACTGCCATTACTTTTCATACCATCAATGGCTTGCCAAACAAGACTTATTCAGGCTTTTGTCTACTCTGCATTCTGGAGTGACATGAAAGACTACTGTGGCTTAGGATCTTTTTTGGCCAAAGAGTACAGAACCACAGCTTGAGTGACCTGGAACAAATTGCTCTTGAGGTGGCAGCGGCACTGTCAGTGTTGGTGGCCTGCAGTCCTCTGCTGGCTTGTTCACTTGTCCTCTGTCACGTGGGCCTGTGCCTCTCGTCTCTTCAGAGAGGCTAGGGAAAGTGAGAGGAAGGAGGTGCAGTTGGTGGAAGGAGATAGTGCCACGTCAGGCAGGAGTGGAGGACCCGTAATGTGCGCCCCCACTGGAGTGGAGAGGGGGTGCTTCTGGAAGGTGGGTTTGACCCTACTGGATGTTCATAAATCCCTGGAGGATAACACTAGAGAGCACAGCGCTCTGATTAATTTGGATGTGCAGGACTGTGCTCTAACGAGTGCCTGGTTGCTTATTATTCTTGTGGACCTTGTTTCCTGTGTGTGGGGGGGTCTTTCTCCACTTCTTCATTTAAATAAAAATGAGGAGTTGGAGTCTCTAAGAAAGTGTTTAAGACCTTCTCCAGACTAGTCAAACATTGAATGCTACCTAGTGTTCATAGCTGGAAAGCAAACTTTGTCATTTCCTCTTCCCAGGACATTTGTAAAATGTAGAAAACTTAAAAAAAAAAGTTCATCTTAAAGTTAGCTTAGAAAAGTTTCTTCCTCCTTCCCAACCAAAACAAAACATTCTAGTACCCTCTAGAAAAATAGGCACTTCACAGTTATGTTCAAACTGTTATGAATTTTTTTTTAAATGGTAATAGTCCTGTGTACTTTTTGCAGAGTTGCTTCATAAAAATTGAATGCTTTGTGTGCTAGGAATGTTTGCTTCTTTCCTGACACATTGGTTGCTGTTTCCCCCCTGTTGTTTCGTAGGCATTTGCCTTGTTTGCCTCCTTGTGGTTTTTGATATCCAGAAGCTCTTATGGACTTTTACCATTTCTGTTTGCTTAAAAGGTCTTTGTCTTCTTCTGAGATCTGATAAAAATAGTTCTCTTTATTATGGTTTCGTGTTTTTTCTTGTGACTCTTTCCATGCATCTGGAATTAATTTTGATACAAGGCAGGGCTCTCTTTTCTATTCCTGGTAGCCAAACAGTTATATCCACACTACTGGTCAAATGATCCATTTCTTAAACCCAGTGATTTCTGATGGCAAACATTGTACATATTTTAATGGTAGTTAGAAGATCTGATTATCTGAACTGTGGTTCTTGGGTTCATGAATTCCCTCTGTCATCTATATAACATTGGTCATATTTGACCAATGACATTTATGAAGTAGTATCTCTTGACTATTTTTTTGTACGTCCAATTTCATAACAGATTGTGAGATAACTTCCTATGACTCATATTTAATCTGTAAACATGAATTTTGTTTGGCTTACTCATATTAAATTTTTACAAGCATTTGTTGCCAGTATTTAAAAATCATTAGGTTTTTGTTTTTTTCCCCCAATTGTTCCAGGAAAATGAAAAGAGATAGCTTGTATAACAGGCTTGTCTCCACACATGGCAGAACTGCTTGGCAATATTTGGGCTGCCTCCCCTCCAAGTTCACAGGGGCTACCTGGCTCCTTCCCAGCCAACTTCCCTCATTGTATTATTGCTTAGTCCGGACTAACTGGAGTTTGTAATGTCTGACTTCTAAGAAACATTTTCACCTTGTTAATTTGATCCTTGATGGAACTTCATCAAGTTCCATTATACTGGTCAACTTATATTCTATATTTCTTATAATGCAGTGTGGAAAAGAAAATGTTCCATTCTTCATCAATTGCTACTTGACTGTTGTCTTTTAAAATTCGTAGTATTTCAGCCCAAGGAATCATATGAGCACAAAAAAGCAGAATAATATTCTGCAATGACATTTAAAACAAATGCTGGAAGAAAAAATTATCCAAGTCTTGAGATTCCAAAAGGAAACACAGCAACATTTGTGTAACACCCTCCCACTTTACCCACATGCTAATTTATATGCCCTGCTCTTGCTGAGTGTGCTGGGGGTTTTGTCTGCTGAGGTCAGCTTCACGCCTTCCTTTGTCCCTTTCTGTGATTCAAATGGAATGAGATAAGAGAGTAAAGAGGTTTTCTGTGTTCCTGGTAAGCACTAGTCTGTGAAGAAGGTCCTGGGAGGTGGCTTTGTAGCAGTCTTATGGTAAATGCAGAGACATTATTTTCCTTCCTATTGAAACTGAGAGACAGAGCCTCAGAGTATGCTATAACTGGTGCAAGGTCACAGCAGTAAGTGGTGAGGCCTAGACCCAAGTCCTAGTGTGCACTCTGCACTGGCATGGTTTTAAACTAGCAAGGCGGTTAAGCGATGAGCATCTGTCTGCCCTAGTTTATTTTCTGTTATTAAAATAGCTGATGAAGGTCTTGACAATGAGAAGCCGAAAGGAGTATCACTAGATCACAATGCCTTAGACTTTTAAAAATATTTATAAATTAGAAGATGTGTCTAGGGCATGAAGAAAAAATGTACTTCAACAAAAGAGTGACAATTAAGTAAAGGAGATGAAACCCAAACTGTTTCTTGGTTTCTTTCTCTCATGTGGATGAGTAGATGAAGTAAGGGATTAGTAAGAATGAGTCACTTGAAAACAATCCCTGATCTTTTTGATAAGAAATTTTAGGCCATCTGTTGTCAGTTTTTTTTTTTTTTTTTTGAGGTTGTGCAAGTTGATAATTAGAGTTGAAGCAGAAATGAAAAGAAACTCCCATTTCTGAGTCTCTTGTCCATCAATGTGGGGATTAACTTAGGGTCTTCAGATGACTCTCTCCCATGTTCCCAAAAGAACAGTTTGCAGTCCCATGGGGTGTGGAGAGATAAATGAGGAGAGGTAGAACTCACATTCTTTATTTAATCTCTGCTTAACAGGGAAAACTCATCCCAGCAAAGGTTTTTAGAAAATTTGCTTTAGAACATTGGAATAAGGAAGAGTCATTCCTGGCCAGGAGACGGTGGAGAGGTTCAGGTTTATGGACACACTGTGCCATCACGAGGTTGTAGTGTTTCAAGAATGTTTACTGAAAACCTACCAACTTGGCCAGTGGCTTTTGGTGAGATAGTTTGTCTTCTCTGCATTCAAAAATTTGGTTACTTGTTTTCTCAGAAGGCTTCTATAACAAAAGAAAAGCAAACACTAGTTCTAGGTGCTACCTGAGACATAGCTGTAGTGTTAACCAGTACTAGTTTTATAATGTTAACAGGTACTGGGATGTCACTATTATTTTAGGCTCTGATGACCTGTTGATACATATTGTAAGCAGTGTTGTAAGAATCATTGGTAAGATGTGGGAAAGACAGTGACATTTCTGGACAGATGATCTTACTGTTATATTCAAATCATCATTAAGGAAGCTCTTTCTCAAGATGTTTTTTTCCCAATAGAGGTTATTATGATTTTCTTAAAAAATGTAGAGCAAAACTGTTTCAATTTTAAACAAGTTCCATTTCTACTCCAAGATGTGGAGCAAGTTTGCTTTTTTAAGCTGTATGGTTTCTTACTATGTATTCTTTCTCTTTTTGTGAGCATTAATTCACAACACTGCTAAGTATGAAGAGTTGAAAGATAACCTGTAGTTAGAAATGAGTCCATCGAAGGAAAACAAATGAAGCATCTTTACAGTCCTAAGCTGTCTTGATGACTGATAAGTAGTGGCTTTTCTGATAGCTCTGTCATATTTAGTGGGACTTTACTTCCAGATGTTTTTCAGATTTTGGACTTTCCAGTGGATTAACTATGTCTGTGAGGGTTTTTTCCTGTTTAATCATAGTTGACTATTTTTTTTTTTTTATTTCTAGGAAGAAAAAAAGAAGTTCGACAAAGAGACAGAAAAGAATTACAGCCTCATTGATAAACATTTGAATCTATCAGCCAAAAAGAAAGACTCACATTTGCAAGAGGTATTCTTATTTTTCTGTTAATTTTGTTTCCAAAATTAATAAACACATAGTCCACATCTTTTTTCTTTTTTGAAAATGTGTTTTCCTTTTGAAAACTTCTCATCTGGGATTATGTAGGGATGGAGGAAAAAACCAGGTTTTGCAGTGCACTAAGAATGTTTTGTGAAGTATGACACAAAATGAGAATATTTTATAGCGATGGATTTTATCTAGACTCATGGTAGGAAAATTTTCATTTCAGTATTTCTAACCAGCATTCCTGAAGAACAGCTGTATTTGTAGGAATGGAGCTCTTAATTGACTTTCAAGATTTCTTGAAGACATGAATCACGGTTAATAAACTTATATCCCATTTTCCTTTTATGTGAAGGCAGCATTAATCTCATTTAAAGCTGGAATTTGGGCGGTTCGGCTTCATTGGAAAGAGACCATTTGTTTTACTTGTGTTAATAGACTCCTTTTTTTTTTTTTTTGGAGGGGCTACATATAAGGATGAAGGAATTTATATCTTATCTCTCATTTCTCCTGTTTCTTTGTATATCCCCTGCGATTTGTTTTTCTTACAGGCTTGAACAGACACATCAGGGGTTACAACGCAGAAATGCACTTTTATTGAGAATCATGCTTTTTGCAGTTCAAGATCTTGACTTAGCCTACAAAAGTGTAGCTTAAAAAATTTTTATTTTAAACACATAAGGAATGTGGGCACAGTGTACTGTTATTACATGCTTATTGAAGTATCATCCAAATGACACTAATAACTGACTTTGGTATCACCCAGGTTACACTTGAGTGTCACATGCTGAGTTGTAGATATGTATGTGTGTATTTGAGGTTGGTTTGATGCTATCTCAGGTGACATTTTCTTTGTCTCTCTAATACCTTTGGCTGGCATTTGGATGGCACCTGCTAATTTACAAAAGAGCCAAGAGCTCTTGTTCTGCTTAATCCTCATTATAATACTTGGGGGAGGCTCTCTTTTCTCCTTGTTCTACATTATGTAGAAAACCATGTCCTGGTTACATCAGCACCTCATCTCCTGCCCTCCGTCTGTTTTGTAGCGACAGATGCTGCTTTTATGGGATTCCATTATCACCACTTTCAGGGGACTTTTAGCCCCAAGTAAATTTCCATCTCCTCTTCACTTTCCAATTAGGTGTCTTGTTGTAAACATCACCTCTGCAGAATGCTGGGAGTCACCCTAGGCTCTTTCTCTCCCACTCCACATCAGTCCATTGGTACATGTCCTCTTTCCCTCCAGAATGTGGCTTTTCTCATGACCCCCTGACTTATGCTACCTGCAGGGGCCCCAGGAGCCACAAGACTCTGTATACTGTATAGCCCAGGCTGGCCTCAAACTCCTGAGTGCTGGGATTACGTGCTTATGTCACCATTCCTGGCTAATTTAGCTTCTTTTAAAGGCGGAGTAATATTCCAGTGTGTGTATGGATCATATTTTGACTGTCCATTCATCTGTCTGTGGAGACTCGGATTGCTTCTAGCTTTTGACTGTTGTGACTAGTGCTGCTGTGAGTGTGTGTGTACTGATATCCTTTTGAGTCTGTTTTCAGTTCTTTTGGATATATACCTAAAAATGGACTTGCTGGATCATACAGCAATTGTATTTCTAACTTTTTGAGGCACTGCCATGCTTTTTCCTGCACTGGCTGTACCATGTTGTATATTCATATCAATAGTACCCCAGAAGTCCTTACCCGACCCTAACCCTTATTTTCTGTGTGTATGTTAGTGGTATAGCTCTATATTTCCCTGATGATTAGTTAAGCCCTTTTCATGTGCTTATTGTTCATTTGTGCATCTTTTCTGGAGAAATGTCTAGATAAGTACCTTAAAAAGTGAAATTAGTCAAGTTGGGAAAAAAATATTACATGGTGCCTTGTGAGAATGGTTTCTGGGGGTGAGAATTCAGGGCTTAACCCTTGAATTGTCAGCCCTTGATGGTCAATAAGCCTTTTCTGCAAATAGTCTGATAGTACTTTAGGCTTTTCTGGACTATCAGGTCTTTGTTGCAGCTGCTCAGTTCTGTTGTGGCAGGAGAGTAGCAATAAATGATACATAAATAGTCGTGACTGTATTCCAGTACAACTTTATTTCCAAAAACAGTGCAGCATGTTTGGCCTGTGGACTAGAGTTTGCTGACCTCTGGTGTAGAGTTTCACTTCTGTCTGTCTCTAGTTCAACTAACTTTAATTATTTTAACACAGGCAGATCTCCAAGTGGAGCAAAACCGGCAGCACTTCTATGAACTGTCTCTTGAGTATGTATGTAAACTTCAGGAAATCCAAGAGAGAAAGAAGTTTGAGTTTGTGGAACCTGTGAGTACCAGAGCAAGTTGTTCACAAGTACATTTTTGTGATATAATAGAAGTAGGGTTTTTTTTCCCTCCTGGATCCCATTTGTGGTTGTTAGTCTGTCATGTATAAACATGAAGCAAGACATCCTAGATTGTAAAGAATGCACAGAGACAGAAGTCAAGGAACTGACTCTGCTTCAGTGGACCTTGCCCTCATTTGCACAGCTCACGTAATGTATAATCCTGCTGATGTGTGCTCTCAGGACTGCAGGCAGGTGCAATTTCTGCTAACTTCCTTGTGGTCCACCAATTAAAAATCACTCTGAAAGAATTTATATTAGTTCGTGAGTAGTCTGATGGAATTAGTCTTTTTCAAGTTGTTTCTGAAGTAAGTTTATTCCTTCAAACTTTCATTCTTCAAATATCATGACTTCTGACACAACTCAAAATGCTTATGGCAACCTAAATTGTAATATGAAAATATTTGAAGCAGTTTTGTGAGCAACTAGCATATGATTTTTGTGACTATATGGACATTTTCTAATAGCTTCAGTTAGATATTGATATGCATATGTATGAATCAATGAATCTTCTGAATCTAGCTGTAAAGCGTAGTTCATGCTGTTGGCTTTTAACAAAAAAAAAATTGAAGCATTGGAATTCATGATTCTCAATTTTAATTTCAATATAGACTATTGGTGTTATTTTTTCATTACACAGTTTTATTGGGCTATAATTCAAATACTATATATAGTTTATCCATTATGTGTGTGATTTTGAGAAAGAATAGTCAAGTAGCGATTAAAAATTAGCCAGTTGGAGTAATAAAATTAACCTAAATTAAACAATGAGAAGAAAATTAAACCTCCTTAAAGTGTTCCTTTTATGTGAAATAAAAATGGCATACATTTATCAGGCATTTACAATGTTCAGTCATGGTTCAAATCATGGTTCTAAGAACTGAACGGGGCTCACTCTTATGCTACCCACTAATTGAATGAGGAGATAATCTTTATTGTCTCTCTTAGCAAGTAAGAAACTTGAAGTAGAGAAATTTTCAGTGATTTTTCCCAAGGTTACATAACAAGAGATTACTGTGCTTGGGAGTTGACCATGGCTGGCCATTGATGTGAGAGCCCATTCTATATCATGCAACATCCTGAAGAAATGAATTTCAGGATTTTCCTAACTCTCTGCACAAGTCACTTCTGCTCACTTTAGAGATACACTCACATGTGGGCAGAAGCAGCTGCCCTCTAATTAAGAGGGCGCAGACTGGGAGTTGGTAGGAAACTTACGGGCTTAATTACTACCCTGATTGTGCTCTGGGCAAGTCACTGAACATCTCAATTGTCAACAAAACAGACGTTGTTCTGCATGGATGCCCTTAGAAGACTCCACCTTTGATCTGTTTTACTTTCTTATGGGTTGATTTGACCCACAGTGTTAAAGTTTCAATTACAAAGGAATATTTGGATTCTCTGGACTAATGAGGACAGATGGATGACTTAGAATCCCATCTCTTATAGAATGCTGTAAGAATTAGTGGTACTGATAGTTAAGAAAAATAATAGTGTATTCACTTTCACTGAAGACCAATTAGTAAGTAACATGCACTTCATTTACTTGAATTCTAATGACTGTCCTTGAATTAATCTACCTCAGTGGAGTGAGATGAGGAAGTACTTGGCTGTTGATGGGACTTTTTCCTCCTTTGAGGGTCTTTTCGTGCTGTGCTAATGTCCCCTTTTCTCCTTTTTCTAGATGCTGTCATTTTTTCAGGGAATGTTTACTTTCTATCATCAGGGTCATGAACTTTCCAAAGACTTCAATCACTACAAAATGGAACTACAGATCAACATTCAGAATGTAAGAAAATTAAATCTTTTTGGTTTCAAAAAAAAAAAAGATGTTTGGAATGTGTATTTTTCATATATTGGGTGTAAGAAAAGCTTTAAAGCAAGACCAGGCTGATCTGTTGGTTCTGAGAACGTGGGGATCTGTTGCCCCCTGGTGGTCAGCTCCTGCCATGACAAACTGCTCTTCAGCTAACTGAGGCTCAAGAAATTGGGCCACCTGGTGGCTCTTCCTGCACTGTCTGGGACAGTTCTAAGGAAAAGCTTATGTCAACTCCAAGTCACTTGTGCATAAAACTGCAAACAGAACCTGCCACTTTACATTCAAGGCTTTTAAATGATAATGAATTAAATATTTCCTCTATTAACTGTATAGCTTCATGATTTTCATTCCCTGTGGACTTAGAGTTCAAGTAGAATCTCTTCCCTACATTTTAGGCATATGTACTCGTGTGTTGCATTCACAGTTGCTGTTGGTCTTCATTGTTTTCCTTTGGTAAATGTATTCTTTCTAGCAGGTCTGGGATAGATTTGGAGAATTTTATTATGCAGTATACAGTATGTGATTTTGCTTAGATACCAGATGTTTTTTTATAGTCAACACTTCAGTTATTCTTAGAAGTATTCTCATGGGAAAGCTAGTAGAGTGTATGTGGCATGAAGTGACACTTTTTAGAAATCTAGTGTGACAGCATTGTGACATGCTGCACACACAGAAAGACACGTGGTAGATAAATAGGCTTGTGCACTGTGTTTTTTGCCTGGGCTTTAACTTTCTGCATGATGGAAGTTGAAGATGAATTCCTTTTGTGTATATTGTGCTTCCTTTTTGTGTGTGTGAGTAGTTATTTATATTTGAGAAGGAAGATGATAAAATCTCTTGTTTTTGTGGTTCATGTGTTCTTCCCTCCCTTCCTCCCTCCCTTTCTTCTTCTTTTTCTTTTTCTTTCCTTTCCCTTTTCCTGTTTTTCTTTGCAGTGCTGTGGGTGTCTAACCCAGGACCTTTGCACACGCTAGACAAGCGGTCTACCACTGAGCTACATTTTCAGCCACGTGTCAATTTCTGTCCACAGATCATTTGGACATTCAGCTGAGTTAACGTTAATAGAGTCCTTGAGCAGGTTTTTATTTTCCTTCTGCTTTGGTCCCAAGATTAGTGAAAGGAGTTATAAAATATGTGATAGGTACTATCATATAACAATTTAAAAAGAAACCCCCAAATCCACACGCACAGGTTAATCCTACTCACCTTGAAATTGTCTCTGTAGGTAGAAGATGTACTTGAATGTGGTTTTTCAGAATACTTTGTAGGCAGCAGAATGCAGTTTTATAAAAAGAACAGTTGTTCAGAAAACTAGATTATAATCCTGACTTTTTTTCTCCCCTCTACTAACTGGGTATATAACATGTAGAAATTTACTTTTTCTGGCTAGGCTTCATCTTTCAAGTTCAGGACTGACCTGAATGAGTATCTTTAGGTGGGGGTGTATATATAATTTGTGGAACTGATGTCAAAGAAAAATAGGGCCCCTTATTTAAGAAAGATGAAGAGTTTCAAGACAGATAGAACGTTAGGCCCAGTGTGAGACCAGCCGAGCGCTGTGTCCTATGTGGCTGCCTGGTTTGCCTACTGTAAAGCCAGCGGTGCCTCAGCCCTGGGCCACACGAGGGCCCAGGGTCAGTGTCGGGCTTTCAGCGAGGCTCTCGATGCACAGCTTGCTTCTGCTGGAAGTGCAATTATAGTGCACCCATAGGACAGATGGGGTCTAGTGCCTTTACCTACACAAAACAAGTCCAGAGTCATTTACTGTGTCAGTGGGAGTGAGCCAGACTGTCTTGAACTCTTAGGAGCAGTACTCCAACGCAGGCTTTTATCATTTGCAGTGCTTCACGAAATGGCCTGGTTGATATCTTTAATATAGTAAGAACTTACATTCGACATCAGCCTTCATTTCCTGAAGAGAAAAGGGCAAATAATAATTTATGGAAAAAAGCCCTTTTTCTGTATTTTCTAGAACCTAAGAATTGTTGTCAGTGATTTGCCCTAAACCTCCAACCTTTTCTGTAATCAGTCCCTTCTTGATTTTATCCTGGATGCTTCCCAGGTCACTTGTGCAGCTCTCACATAGAAGCTGTCTTTTTTCTCCACCTCACCCTCAACTTTGAGAACAGTTGGTATAGGTATTGTCTTTGCTTTATTTTTTTTCTTTTTGGTGGTGCTGGGGATAGAACCCAGGGCCCCATACATGCTAGGTAAGGGCTTTGCTGTGAGCTACACTCCCCGCCCTATGTGATGAAGTTTTTTTTTGTTTTGATTTTGAGTCAGAACCTTGTTATCTTGCCTGGTCATCTGGGCTCAGCCTCCTGAGTAGCTGGGACTATAGATGGGAGCCATTGCACCCCCCCCCATTGTTCACTTTTTGCTTTGTGACTTATTCTTTTCCCATCAGCACCTTCGAAACTCATGCCGTTCATTCTGTACCATCTGCTGTCCCTCAGTGGAGCTGTCATTTCCTCATTTCTTGGCCAGTCATCTCATTCCCTTGTGATGTCAGCTTTTAAAATAATAAGGGGAGAGTGCTGGCTACATAAAAGCCGGAAGAAAAATCCTAGTGATGTATTATTTCTTGTGTGATGCATGAAATGGAATATGCTCAAATATGACAACCCGGTCTTAGAGTTTATTATCTCTATGTTATATCATTCTAGATAATTTTGGTGAACTGTTTAGGATTTTATTATAGTAAAAAAATTAAATAGAAAACCCAATTTACAATAAAAAAGAGGTTATTTAAGAGAGAAAACAACCTATTTTCCCCCATTCTTTTCTATTGTGAAAATGGTTAGACCTTCTTTTTTTTTTTTTTTGAGAGATTCAGTCTTCATTCCATTTTCTATAATCTAGAGTAATAAATAGAAAGCAAGAAAGTAGCAAGGTAGCTTTTAGGAAATAGATTTTTCCAGAAGAATGGACATTGCATCAAAATTAAAGGATATTTTAAAAAAGTAACTCTGAACTTTTGTGATCCTTGTCTTCAGAAGGATGTGAGCTAAGGAAGACTAGAATAGAATTCTTCCTGAAAGGAACTGTAGTGAGGAATGTTAGGATTCATAAAGAGTCCCTAGAAGATTCTAAGAATCGCGAAAGACGTATTTAAAAAGCAGCATGGATATTTTTCCTTTGATAGAAAATAATTGTTGTGACTTTTGAGGGACTTAACATTATGTAATTCAATAAAAAAGCAATGCCGTCTAAATGAACTTTGTTACTGTGTGCCAGTCATTACCCTAAATGCTTCATTTGGACTTCATGAAAATCCTGTGCTGGAGGTTTTCCTTTTATTCCTATTTGGCAGATAAGGGAAAGGAAGCATCTCTTCCTGAAGTCACAGTGCCTGAAGGACAGGGCCAGTGCTGGAAGTGGCAGATGCTCCCTGCAGGACTCAAGTCCTTAGTTTCAGATTTAGGGTTGGATTAGAAGATGGGTCACACCTGGTGTACCTGAGATCAGTAACTATAGGACTCCAGGCACATCCTGATATGGCTGTCTTGTTTCCCTGGACCCTGACTACTTATGGGTAACAATGGGAGTCCCATTAAATGTAAGAACTCAGATGTAGGCACTAATGGAAACTTCAGATTGTTTCTCCCTGTCACTGATTCTAACTTGGGTCCATCTTACTTGGGGTTTCCCAGTCCACTGGTCCTTATTCTGCCAGGTCCTTGTGCATCCAGCACTTGAGGTGATAATGTGGGATTTGAGTGAAGACAAAGTGTGTGTTCCTCCCTACTTCTTTTCTGTAATTTTGGAAGATTATAGAGCAGAGCTGTATGGGTCTGTGTCTGCTATGTTAGAATTATTTCATGAACCCCTCTTTGTGTTTTTAAGTATATTTTGCTTCCCGAATGAAGCCATGGAGCCAGGATGGAAAAGCTCGATGAAAAATGGCTGTCTGTACTTGGAATCCATACAGGGATCCCCCTCTCCTTCACAGTTTTATTTCTGGGTAAAAGTGAATGCACATAGCCCCTCCTTCTCTGTCTCCTTTCCTCCAGTATGGTGGCTCACCCTCACCCATCCTTTTTCCACACATCCTCAAATGAGTCTGATGTAAGCTTGGTCCCTAGGTGGAATTCCCCCACTACCAGACAGCAGCTATAATAAAAGGTTTCATTTATAAGGCTTAATTTAAATCTGACTTGTAGGGAAATGTTTGGTGCTAAAGCAAGGAAGGAGAGGAAGGCAGCAGAGGCGTCAGACATTGCATGATGCTGGGGAGAGACCTGCCCTACCAGTCATTGTGAGGATTAAAGGATCATAAATCATTTTAAGAAGTGCCAGTGATAATGCTTTCTTTGACTTGTTTTTTGCAGTGCTGGGGATTGAATCCAGGGCCTCATGCATGCTAGGCAAGTGCTTTACCCCTGAGCTATACCCCCAGCCCTTGGTTACAACATTAAGTGTTCAAATGTGACCTACTGTAATATTTGGAGCCTAGTACTATTATAATTGGAGGATATCATGGATTAAGGATCTTAATATCAGACCACAAACTCTATAGTTGATACAGGAAAGAGTAGGAACTACTCTGGAGGTAGTAGGTATAGGTAAGAACTTTCTCAATGGAACCCCAGCAGCACAGCAACTAAGAGATAGCATAGATAAATGGGACCTCATAAAACTAAAAAGCTTCTGTTCATCAAAAGAAATGGTCTCTAAACTGAAGAGAACACCCACAGAGTGGGAGAAAATATTTGCCAGCTATACATCAGACAAAGGACTGATAACCAGAATATATAGGGAACTTAAAAAACTAAATTCTCCCAAAATGAATGAACCAATAAAGAAACGGGCAAGTGAACTAAACAGAACTTTCTCAAAAGAAGAAATTCAGATGGCCAAAAAACACATGAAAAAATGCTCACCATCTCTAGCAATAAAGGAAATGCAAATTAAAACCACACTAAGATTCCACATCACCCCTGTCAGAATAGCCATCATCAGCAACACCACCAACAACAGGTGTTGGTGAGGATGTGGGGAAAAAGGAACCCTCTTACACTGCTGGTGGGAATGTAGACTAGTACAACCACTCTGGAAAAAAATTTGGAGGCTACTTAAAAAGCTGGACATTGATCTACCATTTGATCCACCAATTCCACTCTTGGGGATATACCCAAAAGACTGTGACACAGGTTACTCCAGAGGAACCTGCACACCCATGTTTATTGCGGCACTATTCACAATAGCCAGGTTATGGAAACAACCAAGATGCTCCACCACTGACGAATGGATCAAGAAAATGTGGTATCTATACACAATGGAATTTTATGCAGCCATGAAGAAGAATGAAATAAATGGATGGAATTGGAGAACATCATTTTGAGTGAGGTTAGCCTGGCTCAAAAGACCAAAAATCGTATGTTGTCCCTCATATGTGGACATTAGATCAAGGGCAAACACAACAATGGGATTGGACTTTGAGCACATGATAAAAGCGAGAGCACACAAGGAAGGGGTGAGGATAGGTAAGACACCTAAAAAACTAGCTAGCACTTGTTGCCCTTAACGCAGAGAAACTAAAGCAGATACCTTAAAGCAACTGAGGCCAATAGGAAAAGGGGACCAGGAACTAGAGAAAAGGTTAGATCAAGAAGAATTAACCTAGAAGGTAACACACACGCACAGGAAATCAATGCGAGTCAATTCCCTGTATAGCTATCCTTATCTCAACCAGCAAAAACCCTGTTCCTTTCTATTATTGCTTATACTCTCTCTACAACAAAATTAGAAATAAGGGCAAAATAGTTTCTGCTGGGCATTGAGGGGGTGGGGGGGAGAGGGAGAGGGGGTGGAGTGGGTGGCAAGGGAGGGGGTGGGGGCAGGGGGGAGAAATGACCCAAGCCTTGTATGCACATATGGATAATAAAACAATAAAAAAAAAGAAAAAAATAATTGGAGGATATCTTCATATGTGCCTGGAATTTCAAATTGGGAATTACTAGGCTGTAGCTGTTCTGTTGATTTCTGTTTGAATAATTTTCATTCCAGTTCACAATTTATCTAAATAAGCATGGTGTGTTCTAAAAACACTAGTTAAGCCTTCCCTTCCCTTCTTAGTGCAGAGTCATAAATGCTTAGAAAGCAGGGCAGTGAGGTGGAGGCAGCACTGTGCAGGTGTCAGCAGCAGGGAACTGGGGTGGGGGCACAGAGGTGGCTGGAGTATTGGGAGCCTCGTTACCTTGTCATCTATGTTAATCGGTCCAATCAAACACATTGAAGATAAAGGGAACCAGGTTTCTCATTGTTAGAGAAGAAGTTTACAAACCTGGGAAGAGATAGGCTAGAAAGAACAGTGCTCCAATGGAGAGCATGGAATGGCTGATTCTATAACCTGGACAGGAAATTTAAATCTTACTAGATATCTTACTAGACTAGAGTATAGCATTGCACCAAGAATTAAGGGAGTGTGTCAAGACTCTCATTCTGTAGCCAGCACGAAGGACTCTTGCTGGGCAAATCTAATATAATTTCAGCATCAATAATGAAATTATTGATACAAACTCATGGGGTTAAGACAGCATGTGAGTATGCATATGTATGTCTGTTATACACACTTGGGGAGAATTTGGAAGAGGGTTGGAAGGAATCTGGATGAGATGACAAAGGAGGGTTATAAAATCAGAGTGAAATTAGTATGAAGATAGGGACAAGAAATGCTGGAGCTATGAGAACTGGCTCAGCAAATCTTTGCAGCCTGGTAGTATCTTAAAGTCCATAAAAAGATTTTTTTTAGTTCTTAGCTTATGTTTAAAATAAAACTCTACCATCTCCATCTATCAGACTCTCCATTTCCCTAGGAAAAAAGTACCACTGTACCGTTTTTCCACTCTTAAGGCTCAGATAACCCTTTTCATTGTCAGGAGAGGTGAGGAGACACTTCAATAATAACTTTCTATCTCAGCTCCTCCACAGTTTCACATCAGCAGTTTTTTGGTATTAACACAATTATTTTTGAGTCTGGATGAAAGAAATGTCCAGAAATGTGGTCGTGCTGACTCATCACAGTGGCCTCGGTAATTTTGTCACTTCATCTTGCATAGATGTTCTCAGTGTAGCTGTCTGACAGATATTGGCATTCCAAGGCTCCTGCAGTTCAGAAATGAGATTTGTCTGTTCAGAGATGAAAGATATTATTTGTAGGTGAGACTTTTCCTCCTTCCTTCGTTAGGGAAAAAAATGTCATCTTCAAGTGCATTTACCACGACCAAGGAAGAAATGGATACTCGTATGTTTATTACTTTGTAAAGAATTAAGCATTTTGATTCTTAGTGCTTGGATTGCTTGTATAACATTAAAAACTTGAGTAAAGTTGATTATTACAAAAAATGTACTTCCCAGGTAGATATTTTATGACCTGTCTGTTTTTAAATCAAGAGACCTAAAGGCAGGAAACTTTATGTTGAGTAGCAGAACAACATAAAATGGGTGTTGGAAAGCTTCAAAAGTGATAACTTCTGGTTATCTGGGCTGATGTATGCTCCTCTATTAGCTATCTTACCATGTTTTTTTCCCTTTGAGCATGAATCTCAATAACACACACTAGAAGAGGAATATTTGACAAATGTATAAAAAAAATCCTCCAAGCTTAATTTTAGTTCTGAAGAGTGTTAAAAAGTACCTGAAAAAGTTCATAAGTGAACTTGAGACGTGTCCATGTTTTTTTCTGTTTTAGACACGGAATCGATTTGAAGGAACACGGTCTGAAGTGGAAGAACTTATGAACAAAATCAGGCAGAACCCCAAGGACCATAAGCGAGTCAGTCAGTTTACAGCAGAAGGCTACCTGTATGTGCAGGAGAAAAGTAAGTGACCTCAAAGGCTGGCTGATTGCTAGCTAGAAATCCCAGTTCCAGCCTGCACTCTGCACCTGCAGGCCCTGCTCTGTGCACTCAACTCAGTGCAGCTTCAAAGTATTTGAGAAAAACAAAATCCAAAACTGAACCACTGTGTCTCTATTGGGCGGTTACAGAGTTTTGTCTTGTCACTTTGCTCTAAACGGTCAGATAACGACTGTTTGCATGTATTTACATTGTGTTAGGTACTATAAGTAATATGGATAGTATATGGGACGGTGCATGTAGCATCTATGCAAAAGCCATGCCATTTTATCTAAGAGACTTGAGCATCCCAGCAGTCAGTATTTGAAGTCTGCAACAATTCCCCCCACACACCTGGGCAGGACTCTGTTTAAAACTTTGCTATTGTTGTTGTAATTTCTGTGTCATTTTGGAAAATAATCCCTGCCCCCTACTATCCTGGAAGACATATTTCATATGTTTGGGGGAAACACATTTCTCCTTTGGAGAGGGCACATGACATTAAGAATGGTTGTGAGCACCCTGCTGTCTAGCCACACCATCTCACTGAGCTCCACACTGTGACCCAGGGACTCATTTGAAAGGGAGCCAAGGCTCAGAGTATGATGGACTTATGATGACATTGTCACCTCCTGTCTTTTGTCCTCTGTATATACGGGTGCACACACACACACACACACACACACACACTTTGCAGATGTCCCTACCTATCTCAGTGTGGAACATGCTTAGCATGTGAGAGGCCCTGGTTCAAAGACAACACACACACACACACACACACACACACACTTTCCTCTGCCTTACAGCCCTACCTTCCCTCTTGTCGAAGTGAAGAGAGGTATACTTTTCTTTTTCACATCATTTCTGTCTACACCTGAGATAGTTTATTTTTACTAAAGCTATCAGGAAGACTGCAGATGGCTATAAGAATAATCACCCTTGATATTATTTTACTTATCTCATGGAATTTTTAGAAGACTGGAGTTTGAACTCATGGCTTCATGCTTGCAAAGCAGGTGCTCTGCCGCTTGAGCCACACCTGCAGTCCTCATGGGGGTTTTTTAGTATTGTCACTATTGTAGTCTATTTTGTGTTGCAAAATACCTAGGGCTGGATACGGCATAAAGAGGTTTGAGATGTGGTGTAGAACACTTGCCTAGCATGCACAAGTCCCTGGGTTCACCCCTCAGACTCCCAGCACTGAAACAAAGAAAGAAAAGAAGCTTATTTGGCTCATGATTCTGGTAGGTGGAAGGGGCCCCCCCCCCCAATAATGTGACAAAGACGTGGAAAGGCAAGTGGCCGTATGCAGAAGGCACCAAGCATGTGGGGTGGCCTCATTTTATAGTAACCTGCCATGAGAACTACCCTGGTCCTGTGAGAACTAAATTAATCACTCCTGAGGGCGGTTCCCTGTGACGTAATCATCTCTTAGAGAACCCACTCTCATAGTTTGTGGGACCAAGGTTCCAGTGCATGAATCTTTGGGGACAAATAGTTTAAAACTATATCAGTTGTCATCTTAATGAAGACACAGCTCAGAAGGTGTCCTTGTTTATAACATTAGAAAACCCAAAGACTTTGGGGTCATTTTAGTAGCTGAGCTCTTCCTTGACAAACTTAAGTTTCCTCATCAGCAAGAGCAGCTGCTCACCTGGGTGTGTTTAAATCACGCTGGATTTCTAGACTAGATGATTTTTACTGTGCTGTGATTCTGCAGTTCTACCACTGTGAGAAGCAAGAGCCAAAATCATCACATTTATTGAATGAAACTTTTGAAACCCCAGTGAGCTCTTTCTACCTAAAACAAGCAACAAACAGAGCTTAAATGAAGAGATTTCAGGTGTGAGGTAATTGTTGGCTTTTCTACCACAGTGTAAAGTATGCTTTAAATCCCATTTGTGTTGCTGAAAATGTCGTAAAATTCTGTTTCTAAGTATCTCCATGGATCCTCTTACTTTCCCAGTTTTTTCTCTTTTATTGGAACAGCATCGTTGCTGATGGGCCTCACCAAGCTATATTTGTCGATGCTTATTGGGGCTTTCCTCTTCAGTAACGTGCTAGAGCTCTGTATATCTACTAATTTAAGAGTTTTGTGTTTTGTTGAAGGGCCTGCTCCATTTGGTTCCAGCTGGGTCAAACACTACTGCATGTTTCGGAAAGCAGCCCAAAAGTTCAACATGATCCCGTTTGAGCACAGATCTGGGGGGAAACTTGTAAGTATTTGATTTTGTTTTTTCCGTTCTACATAAGAGGTATTCAGTGGAGGTGTCATTTTAATGGTTTATATCCACTAATGATACTTTGTTTCTAGGATTAAAATCTGTTTTGTTTTGTTTGTAAGTAGGCCAGAAAACAGAACAGTTCTTGTGTTTTCTGAATTGCATTTATGGGTCTTTACAGTCAAATTTTAAAATGAGAAAAATAGACTCCTTTTCTGTCACTGCTTTTGGAAGGGGAAGATGACAGTGATAATAAACCTTTGGGACTCTGTGGTCCCCCACATTTACATAGAAGACCTGACCTGCATTACATACTGTGTCCTCATAGCCTGACAACACTGTGAATTAGAGTGATCTGTAGTGAAGTTGACTGTCCTTCAGTTAGACACACAAAGTTTTCATGTAGGTAATTCTCACTGAGCTAACTGCTTCTCCCAAAGAGATATACAGCAAAGCATAACAGTAAAAAGACCTCAGAAGCTGACCCTGTAGCAAAGGTGAGCTTCGTGTGGACTTTAAATAGTCACAGCTCATTACAATAACCCATGGTGTGGGAAATGTTTCCTACATAATTGGCCATACATGTTAGAAGGCAAGTCAAGTCATTGCTTGTTGGGTGGATGGGTATGGCTTTGCTAGGGTGAATACAGACGTAACCCAAGTTCACGTCTATGTACATATATACTTCTGCCTGAAAGTGCTTAAAGAAGGTTGTAATAAAGACAAATTTATGGGATGATGAAATACACATAGAAAAGTAGGGTCACGGAGAAGAGGGAGCAAGGCTGTTGCCTCAAGTCTGAGTTAGCTGTTGGGATGAATTCAAGTTCACAACATTTCTGCTTAACAATATCTTTCTGTTCTAGACTTCAAATGATAAAATAGCCTCAAGTGATAGACTACAGCTGTGATATTTTGAATTTTTATATATTTGAGTGGTTTAAAAATGTTGTTTGGGGATCCCCATATTCTAGAAAATATTTTTTTTTCTTTTATTATTCATATGTGCATACAAGGCTTGGTTCATTTCTCCCCCCTGCCCCCACCTCCTCCCTTATCTAGAAAATATTGAATAGTCTAACAGTATATATACTCAGACTTCTTATCATTGTTCTTCTCTGAGCACCTGTGTTCCTGAATTGCTTTTGACTCTTCTCTCTCTGTTTCCTGGCATGAGGATGGAACCCAGGGTCTTGTGCATGCTAGGCATGAGTTCTATCACTGAGCTGCATTTCTAGCCAACCACCACCCCCCCGCCCCCGCCCCCGCCGCTTTTATTTTTATTTTTAGACATGTTTTGCTAGTCTCAAACTTTCACCTTCTGAGTGTTGGCATTACAGGTGTGCACCACGCTGTCTGGCTGCTTTCTTTTTAATGCTCGTTAGAGAGGGTGCTGTAGTGAGATAGAGTAATATAGTAAAAGAGATAAAAAGTAAAGACTAATCCAGGGTGATTCACTTTGGAAACAGATTGAGTGCTTTGAGCTCTCGATGATCACCATGTCTGATTAGGGTCCTTAGCACACTGTGGGGTGATCCATGTGGAACTGTAATTCTTGTAGGTCAAAACTGGTCACTTACTATGACATATGGTACAGCATACTGTGACCTTAAAATGAATTTTCACTCCTTAAAAAGTACATTAATTGAATAACTGATGTTAGTGTATCTGGACACTGCTGTTAATTTGCCTTCTAAACTTGCCCTTGGTGAGATCTGGCTTAATGGTACTACAATCAGAGCAAGAACAGGAGGTATGGTGAATTTTTTCCAATTTTAGATTCTAAGTATGTTTAAACAAACTGGTTTGAAAGAGAATGGAGAAAAGGGACTCGGGGTGTTGACTCTTGGCTCCCCCAAGACAGGTGGCTCAGGGTATAATGCAGTTTTGAGAATGTTGTGCTTGTTTGCAGGGGGATGGAGAGGTGTTCTTTCTGAAAGAATGCACCAAAAGGCACACTGACTCCATTGACAGAAGGTTTTGTTTCGACATTGAAGCTGCTGACCGGTAAGTTGCTGGAATTATTGAATGTGATAAAAGAATCATTTAAAGATATGGTTTAAAAAATAGAGGTTAGGTTCCACTGTGATTTCCATTGCTTGGGAGAATGTTATCCTGTTATATTTCCAGGCTGTGCATGCAGTGTAAGCTGTTTAATCTTGGTCACTGTGTATCTGTGGAGTGACATTTTGGTTGAATTCTGGAGTCATGCTAACCTGTGTTGTTACTTAAAAGAGCATTTCATTGTTGACCCTAGTGTAATTTGTGTCAGGAAGAGAATAATGAGTGAGGGTGAGGGGGTGCAGGGGAGAGCTAGAAAAAGGGTGGTGGTAGTGACTAACAGAACCACACTCTTTTTGGGGGATATGAATTTGCAGGGCAGATTCCTTGTGTGTGATGGAGGCTCTCAGGCAAACCCTTTCTGTTCATTCAGAGGTTTTTTCTTATTGTCTGACTCTGTTATTCAGTTATGAAAGAGTCTTTATCCAAGAGGAGGAAGTAAAGGAAATTCACCCACCAGTATGAGTGCTGCCTGGCACTAACTTGTCCTCCCATAGCACTTAGGGGAACCATGGTGATCTTAGAGCACTTGGTTTTTGGTCACTGACTGCACAGTCATTCCTTCCTGCCCTGGCTTTGGCAGCAGTGGGTTTCAGATAAGGCTGTTTCATGTTTATGTAATAAAATCTTATAAAAGAAGATTTAAAAAGAAGTAAAACTTCAGGTCAAAAATAGGCAATGCTGATGCTTCTTGTAAATGATCTAGCAGAATCCACAGAGTTGGTACAGAGAGAGGAAGGCTGTGACTCACTTTCCAGTACAGGAGTGACAGACTGGGTCTATTTTCAGCACCAAAAAACCTATTGGCACTACTGTGAAGAGGACAAGTGGGTAGATAAGCATTTTGCCAAGATTGTGAAAGAGAGAGTATCAGTATGAAAGAGGTTAATGTCTAAGCCAATAAGAGCTTGTCAAAACTTAAAGAGGAGAGGCAAATGGGTTTCATCCAGTTTGAGCACATTCTTACAGCTCTCTTTCACTGAGCCTTTCTAAGTGCAGGGTTCTGAATTCTTGTATGTTTATCTCATTTAATCCTTACCGTGCCTCAGGTAGACATTGTTGTTTCAATTTTATGGGGAGAAACTGAGGCAGAGTGGATCTCCAGGTTGTGTGAGAAAGCTGAGATTTGAGCCCGTGGAGGCTGAGCTCTGAAGCACTGAGCTCTAGCACTGAGCAGCACCAAATGGTTAGGGTACTCCCCAGATAGTCCTCAGAGGTGAAATGGCAGTGGTGTTCGCTCAGAAATGCATTGAATGAAGTTAATCTGATTCACCTTGAAAGCAGGGCACTCACAAGTACTTTCTTATATTGTTGTAATGTGATTCACATTTTTGTCAGACTCTACGTTATCTGAGAGCTTGACTATATTTCTGTCAATCAGGATCTGGTGATTGTAACCACTTTCTACTTTTTACAAAGACTGACAAGGAATTACCATGAAGTTATTTTTATGTATAAAGGATAATTACTCTTGCCCCATGTTTTTTGAGACAGGTCTCATTGTAGGCTAGCCTTCTCAGTACCAGGATTACAGGCACGTATCACCTTGGTCAGCTAGGATAATAACTTTAAAAAAAAAGTTTTCTTTCTTAATTAGTGTATATTAATTGCACAAAGGAGTTTCATTGTGAGATTTCCATACATTATGTAATATGCCTTGATCAAATTCACCCCTCTTATTACTCTTTCTTATGAGGCTGGTAACATCTTCCTGGGGTTTGAACTCAGGACTTCACCCTTGCTGGGCAGATGCTCTACCGCTTGAGCCACTCTGCCAGCCCTTTTTTTGCATTGGTGTATTTTCAAGATAGAGTCTCTCGAACTATTTGCCTGGGCTGGCTTCAAACTGTGATCCTCTAGATCTCTGCCTCCTGAGTAGCTAAGATTGCAGCTGTGAGCCTCCAGTGCCTGACTGAGGTTAATAACTTTTAAAGAGACTGAGAACTGGGGAGGAACTGGTTTTGAAACTGCTTTATAGGGAGACTCACTTTTGAAATAAAAATTTACATTTATGTGTATATAAATCAGCAAAAAAATAGAGTTCCCTTATTAAGAGTTGGGGAGAGCCTGGGTCCCTACTCTTTCAGCTCCCTCTTCCAGGGAATCTCTTGAGACCCAGAGTTCCTTTCTGGGAACTATGGTGGGGGACCTAAGCCTTTAGTGGGCAGGAGCCACCCCCTTGCTGTCACTCTGTTGGGAGTGAATGCACTTTAATTCCTTTGTGGCCGTTCTGGAGCATTGAAGGTGTTAGTTACAAATTTGAATGAGGTCGACTTTTCTCTTTTCTCTTCCCCTGATTCCTGGACAAGGAGACTAGGAATTGTGAGTAATTTGTTCTTCGTCTATTTGATTAAGAATTCCATGGGAGTTGGAACCCTGTCTCACTTAGCATTACTTGGTCCTTCAATACCAACTGTAAGACTTTAGCTATGGTGGTTGATCACCAAATTTGTGCTGGATTAAGTGAAATTGAATTGTTGCTCAGAAGAGACAGAACTGGATTAGATTCAGTCAAGCAACTGTCAGTCAACTGTCCTTCCATCTCTACCATGCTGCCACAGCACGAACTCTGGTGTTTTCATTCTGCTAGAGAAAATAAATTTAACCTGGTTTGTGGCATGTGGGGATTGGGGATGGTTTCCAGTGGAGTTCCCAACAGAATTCCTGTTGGGAACTTTTATATTGTAGTTTTGCAGTTGATCACAAGGTTTAATACAAGTAAAAATTTCCTTCTTTCTAGTTCCTGTTTTTGCTAGTTTGTATTTCTTTTTCTTTTCAGCTGTACTGGGGTTTGAACTTAGGGCTTCATGTATGCTAGGTGGGTTCTCTGCTGCTTGAGCCAAACCTTCAGCCCTTTTTGCTTTGGTTATTTTGGAGATAGGGTCTCACTTTTTGTCCAGGCCAGCCTGATCCCCATTCCTTCCATTTATGCTTCCCACCACTCGCTGGGATGACAAGCATGTACTACAGTGCTCAGCTTTTTTCTGTTGAGATGGATTCTTGCAAACTTTTTTGCCCCAGCTGTCCTAGAACTGCTATGCTCCCGATCTCAGCCTCTAGAGTAGCTAGGATTGCAGACATGAACCACCAGCACCTAGGTTACTTTGTATTTCTTATGTCAGAAGAACAGTCAGGTGGCATTGTGACAGTAGGTGGTACTTAATCAGTGTGCATTTAATCAGGCTTGCATTTGGTCTGTGTAGATATAAATCCAGAGTTTTATACCACTTAATTGTGGTATTTAGTTCAGATCAGTTTTGGTTGCGGGTAACAGAAAAAGTCATCATGGCTTACCCAGGGTGAAGTTTATGTTTTCATTTGGGAAGCTAGAGGCAGCCAGATCAGGGCTGATGTAAACTTTTTGGGGTCAATCTTGCTTCCTCCTGGGCTTGGTTCTCCTTCCCAGCGACCTCAGGCTCCAGATGGCTGTCCCCAGTCAGCACACAGCAATGTCTTGTACAGTAGGGATGCTTTCCACAAGTTGCACACGGCACTTCTGCTCACATACCACTGGCCCGAATGTAGCTATTTCGTTACAGCTTGTTGCACGGGAGGCTTTTCAATCCTTGCTTAGAAAATTGCTGCCTTGTTTCAGCATCCAGGTGCTGCTCTAATCCTTAGGGAATCTATTGCTGAGCACAAAGGGGAGAGTGACTCAGGGGGTGGGGACCAGCTAGCCAGTACTGCTAGTGGGTAGGTGGATATGACTTTGTCTTTTTCTCTCTCAATTCACTCAAAGGTTACTTCGAATCTTTTCTCGGCTAAGGGGCAGCACTTAAGAACATGCACTAAGAGCACCATAGGAAAGCAAGAAGGTGTCTGAAAATCATATGTCTGATAAGGGATTCATTCCAGAACATAAAAGAATTCTTATTACTCAGTAATGAAGAGACACATGAAGTTCTGAAATGGACAAAAGATGTGAGTTAGACATTTCTCCAAAGAAAATAAGCAGATGAGAAGATGTTGGCACCATTAGTTCCTAGGGAAATGCAAACCAAAACCTCAGTGGGTATCACTGTATACCCACCAGGATGGCTATAAGTAAAAAGACAGATGATAACAAAAAAGTAAGGCTCTTAAGTGACTGTGAGTACCTACTGCTTCCTACCGGTCACACTTCAAATGCCATGGCGTGAGCTGATCCTGCTGGTCATCTCAGGTAGGGGAGATAATATTTTGTGTAGTTATTTTGTCCATGGCAAGCTAGTCTGTCAAGAGATGCAACTTTCTTCCCAGGAGGGCGACATCTCCCCCCAGCCGGCAGTTCCATTATGTAAGCTGCTCTCTCATTCACTGGTGAGCTTGCTGTACGCCACATTGTGTTGTGACCATGACACCTTGGCTAGATAAATCATTACCGTTGAGTGACATTCTGCCATACATCGCATTCAGGCTCCGTTTAAAGAAAATGTTTCTAGTTTTACTCTCATTAATCTGACATTTCAAATACTGTTTGGTGTGATTTTGCCTGGCTCTAGCATTTCACTCATGAAAGGATGGCAGGCTGCTTCTTCCTCTTATATTCTGCCCACTTAGGTTTTCATGACGACGATGAGAAGGGCTCCACCATGTAGCTGAAGTATTGGGTGTGGTAGAATGTGTTTTCACCTATGACTTCATGTGACATCTGTGCGGCCCTGCACTGTTCCTCAGTAAAAGGAGTGAGTTAGGAAGGCGTTGCCTCTAGAAGCCCTTGCAGTTGGACTGGTTAAGAACACGTTAATTAGGATAATAGTTGTTAGTATTTTGGAGTGCATCTCATCTTTAGCTAAACACTTGTTGACTGTTTGATTCTGAGGATAACACTGAGGCAAGAATAATCCAGCAAGGCAATTTTAGGCCTGATCCTGAGGGAACTCACAGACAGGGAGGGGCTGACCAACCCCCTATGAGCATCAGTGAGTGGGGCTGGCTGGCCAGCCTTCCTTCCTAGGGAAAGTGGT